TTCTTGAATAAGGTAAAAATCGTTCAAAATCAAATTTAGAATACTGGGCATTGGAATCCAGAATCCTGCTAAAGAATGAATCCAGAATCCATTTTATGAAAATCCATTTGGTGAAAATACATTTCAAATCGTAATATGCAGATTTAGCCAAGCCTAAAAACGGAGCTCTTTTTAATTTATTTTCCAGCCCTTCATTTTCATAAGAACTGTAATAAAACTCTTCAGCCGTGGCCGTAGAAGAGTTTCTTCAAGGAGATTTAGGGACCAGTCTGGGAGGTGGGGAAGAATTGACAAGGCCTGAAACCTGGGGGACAATGTTCTCACAACTTGCAAAGCGATCAACACCCATACTAGTCAGGTGGGGACCTATGTTGTTGTTCCTGATGTTTTGAGCAAATTTTCGAAAATAGGGAATGCTTTCTTCTTCAGATGAAGTGCAGGATGTCAGCATCAGTTGAAGTTATACTCTATTGAGCGTGACTGATAATTTCGGTGTGGGAAAATGAGCCAAATTGAAAGAAACGACGGTAAACTACTGTACTTCGTGAAAGACATCACCGATCGATTGGAGAGTATACACGAGAAATCACTGATTCAGTAAGACAATTCGCCAGAATCGTATGGGCTTATCTTATGTCTTCTTTCGAAGTTGCCAGGTATTACTGCCTGCCCCACCGTTTTTCTCCAACGTTTCACCCTGCTCTAATAAGCGTAGAAAATTAAAAGGAAAATTCATTTTCAATTCGTGGTTGAACCTGTTGGAGCAGGTGGAGTTGTTGCAACATGTTAACATGAAATACAAGAATAAAGTTTATTGTTATGTGAAAAGTTTTCATTTGACCGTCTACTGGCAAGTCTTTGTGTTTTATATGTCAACACAACCATTTTCCACAACTTGTAATCACCATTACAAAGTAATCAGTCAGGGAATTGGAAAATTTGTGGCATACACACGATGTTTGAAGTGCCATGTCCATAATAGGCTAAAAGAATTGAGGAGGATGTAGGTGGGAATAGGCTCTCTTGTCTGTATCATTAATTGGCAAATTGCTCCTGCTGCCAATGCTTTAATGAGGTTGGGCTGTCAGGTCAAAGGAACTGAGGATTTTAGTAGCAGAGACTTTCTCAAACCTGAAAACTATCATCGTGAAAAGCCATACTTGTGCTTGGCAACTCGTTCTTATGCTGATAACTAGTTTTAAGAAGGGTACAATATTTCATTACATAAATTTAATGTATAGGCTGTGTACTAAACTTTAATTTGACTATACTCTTATAGCCAATACCAATCCCTATACACATAATAAATCAAATCAAAAAATAATGTGCCATACATCTGCAAGATCTCGTGTAGTTATTTGATTACATAAATATATTAACTGATTGTAGGAGACTAAGAATATTCAAAAGAATATTCAAAAGAATATTCAAAAGAATATACAGAAGAAGGGAAAATTTGATTGAGAAATTAGAATTCAGCATAGGCCGGATAAACAGGATTCTTAGAAAAAGAAATGTGTACTAATGAAAAAGCTAAGGAAACTTTCTTACAACACCTGCCTTACCTGTGTTGCATATAGTAAAGTCAATCAAAGTACTCCTAATCCCGGTTTTAATGTTGAAAACACACGCGCATGCAGATTTCCTATAAACCTGTAGTTAAAGCCTGTGATGACTTCAGAATTTTGATGCACACCTCAAAACGAGAACAAATAAATTTCAAGTTTCTATGTATTTAGTTTAGGTTAGTGGTCCTATTGAGGTAAAATTGAGTCAAACATGCATACGACGACAGTTTCAAGAAATGTTTACAACCAATTTATAAGATTAAGCCTACCTGAAACAACAACCTTCATGTACAAATTAGATCAGGTTTGTACTGAGAAAGGGAAAAAATCACTGTTTTACCAACATGCATACTATGGCAGGTTCAATAACTTTTTACAACTATTTTATAAGGTTAGCTTACCCGGAACAATAACGTTCGATCATGTACAAATTAGACCAGGTTTGTACTAATAGAGGGAAAAATCACTGTTTTACAACAAAATAGTGATCAAGAATTGGTAGTAAACCACAGCCCTGGGTCTGCCTTTAATTTTAAACTTAAGAGAGTGCTTTAGAAATAGAAATTTGCTCGTGCACAAAAGAACTATCTTTCCTTTCTTCATTTAAAAAGAATACAGGTTTCTTTCTGCAAGCTCAGTGGAGGGTGAGAGTGAATGAGACTGATAGAGGCTATGTTATTTGACTAGATATCCTGGAGGGGGGGGGGGGGGTAAAATGAACGATATGGTCTGCACAACTCTCGTATCTTAATTTTTGTAACCTCTAAAGCTAAGGTATTTATATTCTTGCTTTTTGCATCACATGGTCACATATGTTGTGACCTATTCCGTATATCAATGTTTAGTTTGGGTATGAGCATTGGTAGGAAACACCATGCATTGTTGAAAGCTTGAGCAAAAGTATTTAATGCAGTCTAAATATTAATATTACATGTTCCAGTGTGGTTATACTTACACAGCAAAATTATATAATCACACAATTCCAAACAAAAGAAGTCAGGTTTTAGACTTACCTGCCTCTACCTTTGAGGGCTTAAGGTACAGAGTAATAGGTACTGTTACAATTAATTCAAAGTTGAAGGTTCGAAAGCTAAAAGATATACATTACAATCATCAAACCCTATGCATCCACACAAAAATAGGGTCAGTTACCACCATAACTTCTCCCAAACATTCATGCTTACAGGAAATCAATCATTTTTGTTACAAGGTGGTACTGTATTTACAATAGTTCTACCCACCCAAAGGCATTTTTAAAAATTTATCTCATGGTATATGACTGTACAGGTCATGTAGAAAGTTCCTGCAGGGGGACTGACATCTCAATTATCTCAGCAAACTGTAATCATCCAAATTGCAACCCAAGGAATATTTACCAAGTGCTCAAGTTTCCAAACTAGTCACCTAATTGTTACAGTCAAGCTCACTCGTTTTAGAGGCTATCTTCAGCTTGATCAAACTGTTACATGTGAAAAAAACAAATGTTACTCACATATTCAAATAATTACCTGAATCATAAGATATAATTTTTTTTCAATAACCTGCATCCTTTAATTCTGCTCCAGAAATAGTAAATGGTATTGAAGAGAAAGGAAAAAGTTCTTGAAACATTCTATGTTAAATGAAACGTCAATATGAAGGTTAATTATGACCGCAACAAAAACATCTGTGAAGCTATTAATAACTACCTTTAATTAATATAAAATATAATTACCTTTCCATGTAAACAAACTGTAGTGAAGCATGATATGAAAAGATTTTATCTCACCCAGTTTGAATATAGAATCCAAACTCTAATTAACCCTTAACTTCCATGAGTGACCAAGACAGAATTTCTCCCAACATTATCCGGACAATACCGAGCAGACACAAATGTCAATTAGGGGTTGATAGCTGATCCAATACCAAATTCTCCAAACTAATATCATAAGAATTGTATAGCAGACAGTAAAGAGAATTACTCATGTGATCTTGGGAATGAAAGGTAATTTAGTGTTAACAACTGGGTTGAAAACGTAAATTAGCCACCGTAAAGGGTAAAAAAGCTGACGTTTCAAGCGTTAGCCCTTCGTCAGAGCGATTGGAGGAATTGTGGGTTGTGTTTGGGTTTATATGCAGAAAGTAGAGCTACGCCATCGGTGGGAATACGGTGACGAGATGACCGATTCCCAGAACACCTTCGCGACGTGGAAAGAAATGACAAGACGCATCTAAACCAGTCGCTAGACGCTTTAATCTTCCTGATCATTCTAAACAGCATATGGTAGTTTGCGGCCTTTCCTTACATCTAGGCAGTTCGGAAAGCCGTAAAACACTAGAACCAAAATTTATCTTCCAAATCGGCACCCTTAGTCCCCACGGAATCAACGAGCGCTTTTCATTCAACTAATTTATTCCTGTTTTCTCGTCACCATATTCCCACCAATGGCGTAGCTCTACTTTCTGCTTTACGGTGGCTAATTTATGTTTTCAACCCAGTTGTTAACACTAAATTACCTGCTATACTCTCCCACCGACGCAGCACCACAGTTTCTTTAGAAACTTACCCCTTTATTGGGAGTGAAAGGGTTAACTTGCTGATAAATAAGAAAAACCTCAATGTGTTTTTCTTGCTTTTATCATTCTAAATATCACAATGTTTACTTTTTTTTATGATTATCTATTTTTTGTGTCTATCATTTACCAGCTGATATTTGAGGAGAATCAAGTCCACATTTATGATTGACACATTGTAGGCAAACAAGACAACTGATTAAACTTCATTTGACCAAAAACATGAAGGGCAATAGAGGAAATTAGCTAGTGCAATTCAAGTTTCCCTTCTTAAGTATTTTGTGTTTTTTTCTATCATATGGTAAAGTTCACAGTTTCCCTCATTTCACTGTCTTCTGTTCATTTGTTTGTTTGCTTTCCTAACGATCTTAACTATTGTTGCTAATAAATACCAGGAGGACATAAAATGTTTGCAGCATATAAAATGTGAACAGTTATTAATGACATTATGTAATCAGTTTTATAAAATTAATGAAGAGTATTACTTGAATATATGATTGCAGTAAGTCCAAGTGCTTAGTAAACATCGTTCTTTGGTCTTCTATTCTTCCACCTTGAAGGGTGCCTTGTATACATAAAAATTGAAGTTCAGTGCCTTCGGTAACTTTTATGGCAAAGAACAACAGCTATACCAAAAATTACTTTTAAAGACACCTCTACAATGGTAGGTATATGTAACGAGAGCACACTCGGAGATCACGTGCACCTCAGGTGACACATGATACAGCGGTCGATGTTATCTAATCGCAAAAGGTTTTAGATCACACATATCTACATGAGAGCGCACTTAGTTTACAAATAAAGACTGTTCGTTACCTAGAAATCGTGTGTTTATGGTAGAACGAAACATGGTACCAGGAGTGTAGCCTCTTCGACACGATGACAACTACACCACCTCAAGGTTCAGCGAGTGTTCAAGCGCCGACGCCATGTTATGGAATACAAAGCAATTTACCAATTCCGTCGCGATTGAATTTGGCAGGAAATATTTCAGAAAACTGGAAGAAGTGGAAGCAAGTGTGGGATTCGTTCGAAATCGCCTCACGTCTTAACCAGCAAGAAGATAAATACCGTGTAGCTACTTTCATTACCTGCATTGGAACCGAAGCCCTCGAAGTCTACAATGGTCTTCCGTTCGAAAAAGAAGAAGACAAGGACGTAATGAATACAGTTCTGGAGTTGATGGAGAGGCATTGCATTGGCCAAACAAATGTCATTTACGAGCGATACTGCTTCAATAATAGAAAACAAGAAAGCGGCGAATCATTTGACACGTATCTCACAGCGCTCAAAACTCTCGCGAAAACGTGCATTTTTGGTCCACTCACCGACGAATTAATTCGTGATAGGATCGTCTGTGGAATTTGTGACACGGGAACTAGGAAGAAATTACTACAAGAGCCCAAATTAAATCTTCAGAAGTGTATCGATGTATGTCGATCAGCCGAAACAACTGCATCGCAAATGAAAGTCATGAGTGGAAGAGAAGAAGTCAACGCACTCAACCACAAAGAGAAAAAAGACGGCAGAGACGCCAGTCCTAAGTTAGTTAATTGCAAATACTGCGGCAGAAAACACGAGAGATCAAGAGATAAATGCCCAGCGTTCGGAAAAGAATGTGCGAAATGCGGCAAAACAAATCACTTCGCCAAGCTATGTAAACAGAAACTTGGTGGGCGACAACGAAGAAAAGAACGGATTCACCGAGTGCGAGACGCAAAAACTTCGCAGGATTCGAGCGATGAAGAGTACTGCTTCACGATTTCATCCGAAAATCTGGAAGAACAAAGTGTCAAAAGTGTCAGTAGTCAACCCATCAAATCGAAAATCTTCGCAACAATGGAGATCAAAGGTCATCCCGTTCGTTTTCAAGTCGACAGTGGCGCCACCTGTAATGTGATAAGCAAAAACGATTTACCGAACGAGTGCCCGATCGCGCATTCGAAACAAGTCCTCAGCATGTTTAACGGATCGAAAATGGAAACCATTGGTAAATGTCGTGTTAATCTGGTAAATCCCAAGGTTGATGAAGAATGCGAAACAGAGTTTGTTGTTGTCAATAACGACTGCACGCCACTGTTGGGTTCCAAAACGGTGCAGAAAATGAAATTAATCAAAGTGCGTTACGAGAATATCTCATTGGTACAAGAAAAGACAGAAGCAATGGGCCTAACGATGCAACAAATAGCAGCAGATTTCCATGACGTTTTCACTGGAGAAGGAAAATTTGAGAAGAAACTTCACTTAGAGTTGGACACAACCATTGAACCAGTGAAACAGCCTGTTAGAAGGATTCCAGTGGCAATGAAACCCAAGTTAAAGCAAGAGCTCACTCGTCTCAAAGAACTTGGTGTTATCAAAGCAGTTGACACTCCAACAGATTGGGTCTCAAGCTTGGTACTTGTTAAGAAGCCCAACGGCAAGCTTCGCGTGTGTATCGACCCTCAGCCACTAAATAAAGCTTTGAAACGCAGCCACTACCCTCTTCCGGTTATCGACGATCTCCTGCCGGACTTGTCAAAAGCTAAAGTCTTCAGTGTGTGTGACGTTAAAAACGGGTTTTGGCATGTCGAGTTAGATGAAGATTCAAGCTATCTAACAACGTTTGGCACTCCATTTGGTCGGTACCGGTGGCTGAAGATGCCATTTGGCATATCACCCGCACCGGAATATTTCCAACATCGTTTGGATCAAGCCATCGAAGGCCTTCCCGGTGTGCGCACAGTTGCAGACGACATCCTCATCTCGGGTGAAGGTGACACTGTGCAAGAAGCAGTGAAAGATCACGACAAAAACTGCTAACTCTACTTGAAAGGTGCCGCGAAAAGGGAGTGAAACTGAACAAGGAGAAGTTCAAGTTGAAGATGACAGAAATCCCCTACGTTGGTCATGTGTTAACAAGAGATGGACTAAAACCAGACCCATCCAAAATAGACGCCATCAAAGGCATGAGGCGACCAACAGATGTGAAAGGTGTACAGCGGCTTGTTGGTCTAGCGAATTACCTGACGAGATTCTTAAAAAAGCTGGCAGACATTTGCGAACCTCTGCGACAGCTAACGCGCAAGGATGCAGAATGGCACTGGAGCGACGTCCATGAGAGCGCCTTTAAGAAGATCAAAGAAGCAGCTTCCCAAGCACCTGTCCTCCGATACTTTGATCCCGCCAAAGAGACTGTACTTCAATGCGACGCCTCGGACACTGGACTTGGAGCTACGCTTTTACAAAATGGTCAGCCAGTGGCATACGCATCGCGATCCCTGACGGATACAGAACGCAACTATGCGCAAATAGAAAAAGAACTGCTAGCCATAGTGTTTGGAGCCGAGAAGTTCAACCAATACACTTATGGTCGCAAAGTGATTGTTGAGAGCGACCATAAACCACTTGAAGTTATTTACCGCAAACCTCTCGTGGCCGCCCCCAAGCGTCTACAACGAATGCTACTTCGCCTGCAGAAGTATAACCTCGAAATTGGTTTCAAGCCAGGCCAGCACATGTATCTGGCAGACACACTCTCTAGAGCACCCCTTCCCAACACCACATCGCGCGATGAAGTGCTAACCATCGACAAAGAAGTTGAAGAAATACATATGGTCGAGTTTCTGCCACTCCGCAAAGCTAGCCTAGACGATATCCGTAAAGAAAGTCTGCGAGACAGCACGATGCAAGCACTTCAGAAAGTCATTCGAGAAGGGTGGCCTGAGACCAAGATTGATCTCCCAAATGACGTCACGCCATACTTCAACGTTCGTGACGAGCTATCAGCGCAAGATGGAATTATCTTCAAAGGAGACAGATGTGTAGTTCCAAAATCCCTCAGACCAGAAGTCCTATCCAGAATCCACCGATCACATATTGGCGTGGAAGGATGCTTGAGACGCGCGAGAGAAAGCGTTTTCTGGCCAGGAATGAACACAGCTGTGAAGAACTTTGTCAGACAGTGTGAAACTTGTCGAACCTTTGAGATCTCCCAGCAGAAGGAAACACTCCACCCACATGAGGTACCTGACCGGCCATGGTCCAAGGTTGGTGTTGATCTGTTTGAGACAAACAACCGACATTACCTCGTGACCGTAGATTACCACAGCAACTACTGGGAAGTCGATAGGTTGGAGTCCAGTACAACATCTAAAGCTGTTATTTACAAATTGAAGCAACACTTTGCAAGGCATGGCATCCCGAACACTGTGTTTTCCGACAATGGCCCACAGTTTGATTCGGACGAATTCAGGAGATTTGCTCGAGATTGGGAATTCAATCATTTAACCTCAAGTCCCGGACATTCGCAGTCCAATGGTATGGCGGAAAGCGCAGTCAAGACTGTGAAAAGGCTTATTAAGAAGGCTAACAAAGATGGAACAGATCCTTGGCTCGCGATCCTCGACCACCGAAACACACCCTCAGAAGGCATGAAAAGCAGTCCAGCACAACGACTAATGAGTCGTCGAACAAGGACCCTACTCCCAACAAGCGAGAAGCTCCTTAAACCCAAACTCGCCGAAAATGTCCAAGAAGGAAAATGGAAGACAAGAACCAAGCAGGCATTTTACTACAATAGAAACGCTCGAGATTTGCCACCACTGAAAACTGGAGACTCAGTGCGCATTCAGCCCACAAGCAACCCCAAGGCGCCCTGGAAGAAAGCCACTGTTCAGGAACAGGTGAACATGCGATCCTACAAAGTCCTCACAGAAGATGGCTCTGCCCTTAGACGAAATAGAAGGCATCTGAAAGCAACTACAAAAGAGTCTCACACGCCAACAACCCAGATGCCCAAGCAGACAGAACTTCCCTCGCCATCTAAACACATTGAACAAGAAACTAACGCCAGTGGTCACTCCAGCTCAGAAGTAGCGAAGCCACAGGAGCCAGCGATCGAGCAGCCTGCGACTGATCTAGCATCGCAAGCTTCCAAAGGCAACCAGACTCGCAGTGGTCGAATAACGAAGCCCCCGTCCTATCTGAAAGACTTTGTTCGTTAACCTGAGTCAGTGTCATGAGAGACAAAGACATTACCGGACTTGACTAGTTGATTCTTTTGGATAGTGGTTTTGATTTTTTTGTTTCTCATGTTTGTTTTGATTGTTCCGTTGTTTTCGTTTTGTTTCTTATGAAAGAAAGGATGTAACGAGAGCACACTCGGAGATCACGTGCACCTCAGGTGACACATGATACAGCGGTCGATGTTATCTAATCGCAAAAGGTTTTAGATCACATATATCTACATGAGAGCGCACTTAGTTTACAAATAAAGACTGTTCGTTACCTAGAAATCGTGTGTTTATGGTAGAACGAAACAGTATACACAACTTACATGTAAGAGTGAAGCATGTCAAGCATTAAGGCGGCTTTGAAAACTTTTGTATCTCCCCTTTCAAAAAAAGGCATTTCCCATAAAAATATAAAACATTAAAGACATATTAAGGTCCCAGCAACAGGTTTTCCATTGTTAGTGTCTCATAAGATCAGATTCATTCACATTTTTTTTTACATTTGAAAGCCTAAGTATGTTTTAATAATTACAACAAAATAAAATCCCCCATTTTAACCCTTTCACTCCAAATATCTCATTAGTAATTCTCCTTACTGTCTGCCGAATGATTCTCATTATGTGAATTTCAAGAATTTGGTATCATATCAGTAAGTAATCCCATAATTGATATTTTCCTTTATTCCTATAGCACTTGTCTGCATGATATTGTATAGATATAGTAAGGAGAAAGTCTGTCTCGGTCATTCACAGGAGTTAAAGGATTAAGACACATTAATGGTAGTCAGGTATGTATGTCAGCTTCAAGAAAGACAGCAAACAAATATAAAATTATATTCCAGTAATGTGTTCTTATGTAGAATGAGGTTTCAAACTCATTGAAATTAAATTGACTTCATGACTCTGATTTCAATTAAAGAAATGTGTAATACCTCTTTACAAGGATGAAAAGGGAATGCCAGTTAAGAATTTTAAAATTGCAAATGCCAAAAACTTAACGATGGAATTTAAAAAAAAAAACTACTAAATTGAGGTATATCTATTCACTGAGATTTTATTCATTAGCTGGCACACAGAGATATAAAAGAGACTTTGTGGAAAAAAAAAAGAAACCAGGGCAATAAAATTAAAGATTCAGGAGAAGCATATGACACTAACTAGTTTACTGATGTTCTCACCTGAATTAAATCTGGAAAGAGAACTCTGCAACACTTCTGTTTTATCTCCTCACACTTGAATTAAAGCATAAAATTTGATTATTTGCAGGGAGGTAAAGGAGGAAATTAAAAGGAATGGATACATGTTACATAGAAAGAAACCCAATTCAATAAAATAAAGCAGAAGCATATTACCTACGCGTCTATGCTTTCGAATTCAACTACAATTGTTGCTAATTTTAAAGCAATTACCTACATATGTAAACCGGGTGCAATATACGATCGCAAAAGCAGTTTATTCTGACCCTCCTCCTTGAGGGGTGTCTTGTGTACCAAATACAGTATTGTGCAAAATTAATGCAAGCGAAATGCGCGAATTTCGTTTTTTGTCCTCGCGAACTTTCTTCGAAATTTCGTGCGAAAGTTCGAATGACAATTCGAGGCTTTTTTAGCGAATTTTCCGTTCAACAAAGAGCGCTATTTCGTCGAATTTTCACTTCAAAACGAAAGTTCAGCGAAACTTCGAGATAAAAAGCGTCGGTTGACTGCCTACTGCTCGAAATTTCGCGCTGGATAGACTCAATTGTTGGCCATGCAATTTACATAATCTATCTTTCATATAACGTTCACGAAATACATGATAGGTCTTTGGCTGGAGTTAAGTCACGAATACAAACGATAAGAAATACTCGGTTAACTTACCAAGAATAAGGACTTTAAGTTTGGTTTTATACCAGAAAAGACAAAACATAAGCCTGTTCTGATCATTGTCATCAGTTGCTGCTGTAATAGTAATTTTTCTGCTTTCGCGATCTTCGCACCGTGGACGAACTAACGAGAATTCCACGTTTCGCAAGCTTCATTCGAATCTTCGCGCTCGTCGTCTCATCATTCCTACGCATCTGTTGGTCTATGAAAGCTCTTGCTTCCATAGACCGCTTTTTCGGTCTCCCCGAACGAGGTAATTTGCAACGGAGCCAGTAAGACGCAGCTTTTTGATCGAGCGAGTGATGCCTCAAAGGCTCACTTGTAACCCTTCGCTTTTCAAGGTTATAAATATTCCAGCTGGATGGAAGCCCTAGTTATACAGGAGCTCGATTCGAGTTCTAGTATAGTTTGATATTTTTGGCATAATAACTACCAGAGTGCTACGAGATCGATGAATGAATGAGAGAATTGTATATGAAGCATTGATATACCATGCGTTGCCTTGGTTACGAACAGTTTACCGTCACGCTTCCTCGCGCGGAGTCTCGCCTACAAAACGGGAATTTCATCTGTAGTTATATGATGAAGTTAATCATAAAAAACGGCGCCCAGTTCAAGTTACTCTAGCGTGAAGTGATTGCGTGGTCGTTTGTACTGAGACTCGAACACCTGACTGTTCGTATCACATCAACAATCAAACATTCATTGAGGTTTCAACAGGAAGGAGTGATAGAATAGTTGCTTGAGTGAATGAGACTGATTTCTAATATTTCTGCAATGCATTACAACAATACATGGACCACACTTCGCTGTAATAAGTTGAGCGAATTTTCTCTCGAAATTTCGCACCGAACTTTCGAGAAGAGCGAACTTTCCCTCTTGAGTTCGCAACTCACCAGCGTCCACAGCGAAATATCGTTCGTAATTTCGGCCTACTTAAAAAA